TTTTATTAATATTATTAATTATATTATTATTATTTTAGTACATTTTGTATAAGTCTTAATTTAAAGACTTGCAATCAAATTGCAAATATAGTCTGGTACTTTGTTTTTTTGGGCTACTAGATATATACACTCAGGAGTATAATCATTCAGTGTTAAATGCATAATTGTAGCTTTTAATTTCTTCTGTGGAAAAAATGTACAGTGTATAGCAAACCGATCTACTAAAATCTCAAAGTGTTCAGAAATCAAATTTCTATCTATAAACAGCATTGTCATTGTAAACTGAACAGGTTCAATATCATGTGCAAAGGGTTTACGTGAGTTATTAATACCGCCATCCTTTGTAACAGCAGTACGTATGTCAGTCTGTTTTCTTCACCGGTAATGAGCCATGTTACAGAAGATGTAGCTAATATAAGTTAGCTTTAAACAAAAGTCTTGTTGTCAAAAACACACATCTACAAACTACAACTCTTAGAACAAAAGTACTGTGCTACAGTCCTCAGAACTTAGTTATGTGATTTTTTTGTCAAGAGACGTTGCACCTCTTGGTTCCACTCTTCTGTGAAGTTTGCAGCCGAGTTGTCTTCATCGTCTGTCCGAAAGCAGCTCTCCTCATCATCAGTTCTTACGTAGCTTTCATTGTCTGTCTGACTGCAGCTTGCCTGTTGAGAAAGGTTTCGGGGAAGGTTTTTAAAAGGAGTGCTGTGCTGGTTTAAGAGCCTGCACCCACACAGGCAGAGCAAGTAAAGCCTCTGCCTCCTGCTTTATTGAGAGAAAACAGGAGGAGCTGGCCAATTCCCATGGTTATCTCTGAAAAAGTTAAAAAAGTGAACAAGCCATTCGACCAAGGTGAGCCCTAGGTATTTAAGCTGTAAACAGAAACTTAAAGGGCACTTGGGAAGGTGGAACCTCTTCTTACAACAGGTGAGAAGACTGTTGCCTGCTCTGCTGTGGGACCTTGGGGTAATGGGGTCTGCACTGACATAGATTTGGACATGTACCCATCTTCCCTTCCATTTTACCTGCCAGGTTGCTCTATAAATAGATTATTGGTATCAAAACTACGGATTATTCCCCTCGTGCACAGTGTTCAGCCACCTAGTTAAGAGTCACCATCAGGAGCACCCTCCTCCCACTGTAAACGTCTCACCTTTAATTTACATGCTCAAGTATATTTCCCTATGTCTAAAAAGAAATGCAGTTACTTAAAAGGATGATTCTGGGTGCTATAGCTTGTAAACAGCCTAATCTGCAGGTGCACCAGTTTCTCCTTGGTGCTCCTCTGTATCCTGAAGCACCAATAAGCATCTTAACTTCCCTTATCAGTAGCATCAAAGTTTTAGTTGTTAATGGAAAATGCTTGATAGACAACTGGTGCTCTTTTTCAGAACTACGCCAGGATCTACAGTCAGGTAATACTGCAAACTTCTGCTTTTGCCGTATTTATCATAAAGGCACTGTTTACACACTTGACCTTTCAGAGTTAAGGAGCTCATCCTTTTTCTCTTGAACTACCTGAGACAGAAAACCAATTTGCATTGCATGAGATCCAAAAGTAAGGGCATAAAAGACCAAATCCTACTGACATGAATCCTTTTCTACTCCTTTCAGGCATAAAGCTGGTCTGCAAGATGAGAGATGAAATGCAAATTACTTCAACCCAAAAGAGTTAAATTAAAGCCAATGAATGACACCAGGTGCCCAACCACGCTGCTTGATCACTCCCTCGTGGGTCACGATAAAGGCAGTTTAATAAAGCAAAAGGCTGTGTGCAGAAGCAAAGGAAACCCAAAAGATTTATTCTTTACTTCCCATCAGTAGGTGATGTCCAGCTACTTCCCAGGAAACAGGGTTTCAGTACGCACAACAGTTGCTCCAGAAGACAAACGTTGTAATAATGAATACCCTCCTTTCCTCCTCCTTTTTCCTAGCTGTTATTGCTGATCAGACATCCTATGGTATGGAACATCCCTTTGGTCAGCTGGGGTCAGCTGTCCTGGCTGTGTCCCCTCCCAAGATCTTGCCCAGGCCCAGCCTGCTGCTGAGGGGGGATGTTGGAGAGAGACAGCCTGGGTGCTGTGCCAGCACTGCTCAGCAGCAGCCACAGCACCGGGCTGTTACCAACACCTGGCTGGTACCGCTACACAGCACGGCTCTGTGGGGGCTGCTGTGGGGAGAATCAACCCCATCCCAGCCAGACCCAATATGATAAAGAAAGGTCTGGTAGTTAACTTGCTGCTTCTCCTCCCTGACACCATTTGATTGTATTAATTATTCAAGCACAAACACTTCCATCTGAGTCCTTAATACCTAAGCATGCCAAATGGTATGACGATCTTAATTTAGTATCATCTCAGTTACAAAAGACCTAGCATTAACATTTTATTGATAAATGGAAAGGAAACCTGCACTGCAAGGCTAATGAGAGGTTCATAAAAAATTCCTGAAGTACATTTTAAACAAGTATTTTTTAAAAACCAGACATGCATCTGTACTGCTTAAGTCTGCACACTCATTTGGAAATCTTAGTAAAGAAACATTTGCTCTGCACAAGTCAGCCAAAAAATGCAAATGAAAGGCACGGAAGAGGTCAGTTCTTGGCTGCCTGAGACTGATTTTTATTGAATCAATTTCAGGATTATGTAAATATAGCTACATCTTATATTTCTTGATCATTATAAACCATGAGAGCAAAGTAAGAGTGGCTTGTGAAACACTGGATGCATTAAGATGCATTGACAGTACTGCTAAGTAGTTCGGTTTGCTTTGAATTTTCTGGAAAAATTATTTCTCTCTGGTGGAGTGCAGAGAGGGTTATTCTAAATTCTCTCAAGGCTTCTCTCAGTTCCACAACTAGCATTGGGATAGAGATATTTTTCATACAAGAAATAATGCGTACTAATGAACCTCAGAGTTCTAAATTCATTGCAGCATTTTGGAAATGCCAGAATTAATTCCAAATTAAGACTCATATGCTTTTTCATGTTATAAAACTGTTTCTTGACCTTTTGTGTAACTTAATCCACAGGTTCTTTTCTGTTACTTATCATTCAGTGATTTTCAAACCCATCCCTATCGCTTGTGTAATTTTAGAATTAAATTCAAAAAATTAAAGCTGCTTCTTCCCAGTTAACTTGGTCACAGTTCTTTTACAGCTTTTTTACACCTACATGCTAAGAAGAGGAGGACTTAAGGAGAAAAATAAAGACGAAAACCAAAATATAGCTGAGTGAATGTAGCAGACATTTCTGAAAATTACTGTGCTGTCAGCCTGCTGTTATTTTCAAATGGAATGATCCACATAATGCTCTTTTTCATGTATTTGTTCAGAAAAAACCCCAAAAAGATACACTGAATCATTTGGTTATGCTAGTAGAGTATGACTTACAGATGTGAGCAGTTCATCTAGTGCAGGTATCCTGCTGCTTCACCACTGCATCACTGACTTAGGAGGAAGAGGCAGAAGAAACTGGGCTTGCTGAGGCTGGGGCAGAGGCGGCAAGGGGCATCAGTTAGCAGCTATTTCAGGGGTAGTTACAAGGATAACAAAGCCAAAATCTTCTTGGCAGTGCTCAAGCACACAAAAAGGACAAATCACATTTTAGGAGGTTCAGGTTGGACATTAGGAAAAAATAAATCCCATAAGGAGGGTGGCACTGCATTGAGGGGGGATGCCCAGGGAGGTGGTGGAATTTCCATCTGTGGAGGTTTTAAAGTCTTTGCTAGAGAAAGCCATGGCTCACATCATAGGCTTGTGCTGGAGCTCGACCTGTATCAGGTGGGAGATCAGATCAAATGACCTCCCGAGGGTCCAACCAACCAACACACCTACACCTCTGTGATCTCCTGAGCTACTGGCATGAAGTTTATGCGAGGAATGAACTGTAGTGTATGAGCTTTAAATGCATCCAGTCAGCTCTGCCCAGCAGTTTCTGGGGCCCTACAGGCGAAGAGAGGTCAGGGCACAGCTGGGAAATGTGACTTCAGGCAGTGGGCACAGCAAATCTGAAACCCACACATCCATTAACAGTGGGCTAGTAACCCGCCTTGGACCCTGGGCTACGGATCCTACATCCCATCTTTCCTGAACAGTAAATGGCCAGGTCCACGTTGCAAAGGGCTGAAAATGTCAGTGGCCTCACTAGCTCTAAAATCTTATTTCCCTCCCAGAAAAAGATAGAGATGCAAGGCAGTTGTGTCTTCATTGCACTTAAATGAATCGTCAGTGCCGTTTGGCTTAACCACCAGCCCTTCTCACAGCAGCACACCGGGTGGACTGGACTGACCACACCATCTCCCTTGGCCCCTGGGTTTTATCACCTGACACTTGGCAGTATTCCTAATCTCTGCTGGTGGACGTGAAAACAGAGCTTGGAGAAAAAGGGAAAAGATGAGAAAGACGTGAAAGTGTTACTCCATAAGACTTCTGTCCCGAAAAAACAGTCAAGTTGAATAAATAATAGTTTTTTTAACAATGCATTCATATAAAAAAATTGAAAGGATTTGGGGTTTTTGTGTTTGAAACATTTCCACCTGTTTCAATACAAACCATTCAGTCACTTTTGCAATGGAAAATGCCACCCATAATCCCAGACCTCAGAACAATTTATGTGACAAGGTTTTGAGTGAGTGAAAGCGTTTGGAGTGGGATTAGAATGGAGTCATTAATTGAAATTATTGCATGTTTTTGTCAAGGTAGAGAAAATGTAATCACAGTTAAAAAATCAAAAATGAAACCTCTAATAAAGACTCCTCCCTGTACTCCCTCTCAGTAGATGCTTTAGGTCTGGCTTTTATTAGCTTTTCACATCCCCTTTTCTGTTATAATAATGAATATAAATGAATTAGCCACGACCAACTAAAATGTTGCTATGCCAGCACTAAGAAAGCATTGCTTTAGAAAATCTAGGAAATCGTAGGTCTCATGGGAACACGTCCACTGCACAAGTCGACAGCTTTTAATTGAAAATGACAACTTTTTAACCACTTTTAGAGATGAAGGCCTTCTGCTCCCATTGGCCATCCTTGGCAAAAAACCAACTGCTGTCAGGGGGATAAAGGCAAAATAACGTCAAAGTTGCGCGTTCACCTAATTTCAAGACCTGCCTAGAGACTGCTGAAAACAAGCTCAAATTCACTCTGTTACTCTATTAAAAAAACCCCAAGTGGTACTGAAGTACATTTAACATAAAAAGCAAACTGAAAACATGATTAAATTATCTTTTATATATTAGTGGAACCACTTGCTGTCTTGGGAATTTGTTATACTAGATGTTATTTCAAAATCAATTCTAGTGAATTGTACATAGCAGTTTTAAAAATGCAAATGCAAACAGAATGCAGAAAGCCTTAATCAAATGACATCAACATCACTTGTCCATGACTGATGAATGAGGAAATGAACAAAACTCTGTGGCTGGCCATCGGCAGCAATATCACTCATATGAAGCTACAATAAACTCATCTGCTTTTCACCACCTTTTTTAAAGTAAGCACAAATGTAATACTGTTGCAAGATAAAAAAGTCCGTTGGCTTTCTACCTCATATGGCCATCTAGGCAATATAATACTGACTGTATTTGTATCATCATTCATTGAATAATATTATCTTAGAAGTAAAAGTCTTGATGCAGTTGCTAAGCTTCAAGCAAGAACCCAACGTAAACAGCAAAAGCACTTCAGACATTGTGACTGGTATAAACTATTTTGGATTTAATTTTCCAAGGCTATGAAATATTAGTACCAAATAAAATACACAAGATAGGATAGTCTTCCATATTCACATGAGAGTGAATCTTGAGAAGACTAAGCCATGCTTATCACATGTAGACATATTTATCACAATGTACCATAATGCAGAGTTTGTTCTTGTGGATATAGGTAAAAAGTGCCAAGTTCACCAGTTTTTGTTGCTAATTTCTATAGCACCAGGCTTTTACGACTGGTGGGAATGTTTCAGTCTTTGGTACCAGCTGAAGGGCTCCTCCGGGAGCCAAAACCAGTTTCACTATGGAATTAACTGGAGCATAGTGCTTTCAAAAATTTAGTTCTGACAGGGTTTCAAAAGGCTTCAGAAGCATCCAGGAGAAGAGATAGAAAGCTAGGCTGTACGGCAGTATGCGCTTCCCCATGTCACTATGTTAACACTGCTTTGTAACAAGAAAGGAACCCTTAAATGGGATTGCCTGAGCTTTATAATTCTAATGAAAAGGATTTTTTTCTCCTTCATATTGTAAATAATTTGTCTGAAAGCTACTACCCTTTAAAGTCATAATTATCCATAACTGTAATTAAATTCATGTATATATAACATTTCCACTATATACATAGTTATAAACACATACATTGTTGTTCAAAGATCTGTTTTCCTTTTCAGGTGACCTGATCGATAACTGGCAACAGCAACAAAATAGAAGAACAGAACTTATTTTTCTGGCTGTCAATGTTTAGGAAACTCTACACGGCTCATGTTTTTAACAAGGCTACTGAGAAAATGAATGTAACCTGAGGGGCAATGTTAGGAGGACTTTTATGAGCAGTTATCTGGTTTTTATAGTACTCTGGGTATTGTTTATTTGCTTTTCACATCCATTTATTTTGCTTTAGCTGCTAGAGACACTGAGACACATGCTTCAGAAACACATAACATCTTTTAACACTGAAGACTGGCAGCTGCTTTCACAAGGTCCGCACTTTAACAACCAAATTCTACTGTCATCAGAAGTCGCTAACCCCTTGAGTCGGGGTCAAATTTTGTCGTAAAAATTGCCATATAAACAAGGAGGCTTTCAACCTTTACTGAAATGCTGGCACTTCGACATGACACACGGCATACAGAATGAATTCCTGCCTAAAGCTGGCACAGGCTAGTTCACTGGTTTTGTTTATCTGAACATGACCCTGCTCCCAACTTGAAGTGCCCACTTGATAGTTGACCCTTGGTTGTCTTTAGTTCTGGCTTTGAGGAAGAGACTGAGTTTGCAGACCAGAGTCAGACCCCTGTTTTGATTTCTCCTCCCTTTCTGGCCCTGCTACCCCACGGTTCAGTGTCAGAGTAGGATGGACAGCATCTTCGCACTGCCATCTTAACAGCAGGGCACTGCACCCTCCTAGGAAGTCAGAAATGCAGAGTCTGTGGCTTCAGATGAGGCAAGAAGGAAACGTGTGGTCTCCCATTTCCTGGGCAAATGTTCAGAGTAACAGGCTACTTCATAAAAATAGCTGTCATCTGTGTTTCTGAATAAAAACACAGTTGTTGAACTGGGCATTAAACTCAGTGCTGCAACTGTGAGGTTGGCACGTGTAAGGAACATGACCTGAATATGGGCCAACAGGGAATTTATAGACCTTCTTGCCTTATCTCTGAACTGCCAGACTCCAGCTAGTAGCTCGAGTACCTTGCATTTTGGATTGGGGCATTTTAAGCTTCCACAACACATTTGAGGACATTTCTGTTGTTAAGCAGCCGGTGGATTGCTTTCTTTAATGTTTGCCTAGTTCCTGTTTCACACACTAGAGTAGATGTTCTGGTCTCACCAGAAATGATTTATTTCAGTTATCCTAGAAAGACTAAAGCATTGTAAGGAATTGAACTCAGGTCTCCTGAAATGTAACCTGACCCCTCATCTTCTGGATAAGGTTCCTCTGTACTGGCTAATATATTTGTCAACACCCCCAGAGATGAAAAGCCCACGTTCTCACTCTCACGGTCAACAAAGAAAGAAGATAAGAAGGGTGGTGGCTTAATGGGAATCCTCAGGACTAGGACCACATTTCAAAAAGATTATTAGAAATGATTTAGAGAGATTCCTAGGCATCCTAACAGAGGTTAAAAGAAGAAAGAAACAGCATCATCACATACACTCAGGCAGCATAAGGTGCATTGCAACTGAAATACACATTATGAGGATGAATTCCAAACATTCTTCTAAATTACAATGATACTTACTTGAGAGGAGAGAGAGAGAAGGATATTGCACTCAACTTTGCAAACTGACCTGTAGATAACAAAGGACAGAAAACAAGAAGATGACAAATTAAGCCAGTGAGCAGCCAGGCAGTGTATTATTCTGAAGAAAGCCACGCACAAGCTGGAAATAAAGGGAGCAATTATGGAACCAGAAAATAAACCCAATGAAAAGTGTCTTACACAACACATCCAGCAAAAGACTGCAACAAGAACACAACTGGTAGCAGATGTGGGAGGATAAGCAGTTAGCATTTACACTTGTGCATTAAATGTGTTTTTTTCTGGTACAGATACTTGTTATTTACAACATGCTTCAAAAAAAGAGAGAGAAAGAAGCCTCTTTTGAGGTTCCCTGTTCCAGATTTCCTTCTGTATCTTGAGTTTTCTGCTCATATTTTAATACTAATTCTGAGTTTTGCTTGAAAATCTTCCTTGGAGACAAGGTGACACAAAATAACAAGTGTGGGTTTGGAACAACCATCTTCCATGCTACACTGCATCTACATGTTTTTCTAAATGTGCTGCTTTTACACCAAGTGAGACATTTAATAACACAAAAATGGTTACCATATTGTTACGGAGGTTACCACTCTGTAACATTAGTAGGAGTTCTCTGCGGATCTTTTCAGCTGACAATTGCATTATGATATCTACAGCTACCAACTTTTTTTTTGGCTATCCAGATGAATGCAGTGTACATGGGAGTACAAATAGTAAAACAGCCTGTAATAAATTCCAGTGGTTTGTTGCAAAATGAGAATAGTTGACCTGGTCACTGTTCAATAGGATACCCCAAATAGAAACTTCCCCATTTTCCTTTGTCTTTGCAAGTAGAAAGTTGTGCCTTTATCTTTAGAGACTACTCAGTGATGCTAGTAGAAAAAGGAACAGAATAGCAAAATACCACAAATTAACTGCAAAGTGCAGAGAACAAGCCAAAGCACATGTCTCAGGATCAATACATGACACTGTCCAACCAACTCCCAATCATCCTAGTGGTCCCTCCTAACTTAATATCTATTCTTGCCAGCTTTAAACCTGTTCCCTAATCAAAAGGGCATCAGCCATACTGGGAAGGATTTCTCACACGTGGCATGCTTTGGGTCTGTGGTTATCAACTAAAAATAGTTTTCTATTTACAAGTCACTACCGTCAAATCATTGCCTGATAGGAGCTGACAATCTCACAGACAGTAAAGTGCATAATGAAATTTCTTTGGAAAAAAATAAACAGAACTTGTCTATAATGAGGACCTTCTGTTCCCTTAGTGAATACATTTTAGAAAGAAAAAACCTTTATCTTCTTCTGATTCCGCCCCCCCCCCCCAGTGGAAACAAATTGTGTAAAACAATGGGGAACAAAGTTCACTTGGGCATAGTCTTGGCTGACCTAAATTGAAAAGTAGTTTTATTCTGACACGGGTAGGGAGATTTCCTCCTCTTCTTCTGGGAGTGTTGTTGGAAGACAGTAGAAAAGCTCTATTTTGACTGAAGCAAGAGTAACACCCAGTTCTGTTGAGCAACACGTACAATTTCTACTACACAACAAATGCCTTTATTTTGCAGTGCACATGCGTACTCAATTTTGCACATGTACAAAATCCCCTTGTAACTTGTGAAACTCATGTACCACTGTTGCCATATAATGCACTTCCATACTGTAATCAAAGTAGAGTCAAATTGGTCTATCATTCTTTCTAGGGAAAATGGAATTTTTACCAGCAATACTAACATTCATTATTTGATGCTTGACAGCTGTCACCATTGAGGTACTCCTTCTTTATGAGTGGGAATTATTTTCCATTACATTAGCAGCAGCTGCTCAACCTGTTCAGAAATTTAAAGGTTACAATTTTTGCCATTTCCTATCTTGGATAAAAAATTGTGACAAAACCCTCCAGTGTCACCCATTGTTGCCTTAGCAAATATTCTATAACAATTCTGCTCTTGTTGTCATGTCCTTAAAGACCTTTGCAATGAAATGACTTTTGGCAGGCTACTGTGGGCATGTGGCAGACCTAGCTACACAACAATAAAAAAGAAGCTCACATCAACCTCAAAACTACCTGCAATTTTGATAAGAGTCAATGAACTTTTACAAGGCTAACTTATCCTAGCAGCTTTACAGAAAAGAAGACCAAAAGAGCAGCCATTCTTCATTAAATCATGAGCCTGTCAGTCCCAGATTCTTCTCTCCAAAGTGACTGGCAGTAGACACTAGAGAAAAACTACCAGAAAAAAAGGCTATATTTTGTTAGTTCCCAGCAATCAGTAGGTCAAAGAATTCCTGCCCAGAAGATGCTTTTGAACCTCATTTCCATACACCTGATCTCTCAGTACCTGCTTAATCTTTTTTTTTAGCCCAGTTATACTTTTTGGTCTCTTTTACATGCTGCAGTGATGAGTTCCAAATTTTAATTGATCACCATGTGGGAAAATAGTTACTTTTGCTTGCTTCAGCTCAGCTCCCAAATAACTGAATTGGGTGTGCCCTCCTACTGACATTGCTACCAACATTGTAAGAAGTAATGAATTTTATATAAGGATGATCTGAGCCAGAATAACTTAAAAACTGGCGATAGTCCATTAACACCAGCCAGAAGCAGAGACCATGCAGACAGGACAGGTGATCTACAGAATTTCAGCTCCCCCTGGCAAATTGGCTTTTCTTAGACTCTTAAACAAATGGCCTTTGAAAACTTCCTCAGGGGGTGTTCAGTGACAAATCCTCAGGCTTCTCTATACCAGATGCTTGTTGAATACTTGGTCCTCTAGGATACAATTCATTCCAGACCCTTTCCTTCCCTTCCAGATTCTGACAATGACACACAGATTCCACTTGAGCAGAAAAACCATAATGAATGTTTTTTGCTACTGGAGAGAAAAAAAAATAAATCAAAATATAACAAGAGCACAGCTTAACACCACCAACCAGCCTCTATGGTATATAGTAGTGAGGTCTAAGTGACTTGGTAGGCAGAGGCAGAAAACAAGCTGAGAGGGAGCTCTGGACCACCTGATGTCCTAGAAAGCTTAAGGACTACAGTTGTGTGCCTCAGGCAGTGTGGCCTTCCTGGAGATGCACAAAGGCTAGATGTATGCATGCATGTCTGTGGAAAAGAACAGTAGTTTTTGGAATGTGGCTGCTTAGCAACTGAGAAGAGATCATACCCGAGGGCCCAGGATGGGTTAATAAGGGCACTGGGCAGCTGTGGTGCATTATCATTTCTCACTTATGGAGATGCATTGGTTGCCTGTGTCCTTCTCCCACCTGGTATGCCTCATCCTGCAGCTTCTGCTTCAGGTACTCCTCCATCTTCAGTTCATTCTCCAGCTGGCGGACAGAGTCATTCTCATAATTTTCATCATCTGCTCTGACATAGGGGTCTCCATCTTCTGTAACCCTAAAGACAATTATTAATAAATAGCCTCCTGAGATGAATGACATTCAGAGTCAATAAAACTTCCCTTTATTGTAAGCTATGAGGAGTACAGGATGCTTTTAGTCCAACCACATGCTCTGTTGGTTAGTATTTTCTGGCAGTGGAAAACATTTCTGCTATTTCCTCTCTCCAGTGGTCTGGTATTGATGAAGTAGACCAGAGGGCATATTCTGCTGGATGCATTTTGGGGGTACAACCCTATGGAAATGAGTAACAAAAATCCTCAATAACTTCTTTGAGAGTGATACAAAGACTAACAGGTTGAACTAATAATAACTGGAAAGATGCCTATTGTCTTCGATAAGAAGATTCAGGTTCTAAAAATAAATTGGTTTGTTGATCAATTGAGTTGGTCAATTAAAAGCATTCTGTCTTTTCCAGTTAAAAACTTCTTTTCCAGTGGGCTCCAACAGGCCCCTCAGCCTGGCTAAGCAGGGAGTAGGACTGCAGGGTGTACAGGGAGCACAGCTGTCCCACAGCCTCCACGCCGCCCGCGTGTACCAGCCTGCATGTGAGACAGCAGAGCTCACTACTATCTAAGCGTGAAGCTGTCCTCACTTGGATTTAGGCCTTTTTTTGGTAATCAAAGAGTTGAGAGGGAGAGAAAATATTACATGCTGCATATTCTTTTCAACAGAAGAAGAATGCAATTAAGGTGAATCGAGCAGGTACCCACATGTCGCTGCGGATGGAGCCGGTGGCAGCAGCGCTGTGGATGTACCCTGGCTTCCGGGCATGGATCTGCGCGAGGAAAGCCTTCTCGGATGTGGGGGATGGAACAAGGTCATCAAAATGAGTCCGTCCAAATTCAGAATCCACATTGCTTTCTGTCTCGCTGCCCACTTCTGTGAAGCAAAAGGTGACACATGGTTCCAATTTAACTTACACAAAAGTATACTTGCCTGTTTCTCTCTTTCCCTGCCTTTCCAACTTAGAATGCCACCTCCTCACAGTGAATAACAGTATATTATTTTATGTATATCTGCAGTGCTAATAGTTTTCTTCTTGTGGTGGACAGAATAGTGAAGCTTTTGCTTATCTCGGTTATTAGGTAGGATATTTTTATAAGAACACTACAGACTGCATTTTACAATAGGTCCTATATGTTCCATACTGAATGACATTTCTGAAGAGTGAAATCCCACTCCACGTGGAATCATAAACAAGCTTCTCACTGTTTTCACTGTATCCAGCTGCACCTCTACGCTCATGGCTTTCAGAATTGCTGTATTCCTAAAGCTGTTATTTAGGTTTTTTTTTTCTAAAAGTATAAAAAGCTTTGAAGATACATTGCACTGCTTTTTTGTTGGGTTTATATTTTCCTGCCTCCCAGTTTTTCAAATACACGTGAAATGTCAATGTGGTGACTATCCGCCCTTGTCAGCCTCACTCACCAGAATTTAGTTCTTTTACCAAAGAAGACATGGTGTTTGTGATTGAATCTGCTGCCACCAGCAAATCGTTTCTTAAGTTTCGTCTTGCACCTGAAGCAAATGACAAACAAAACACAACGTTAATGTTCTTTTCAAGACATATGTTTTCCTGTTGAAAGCAGTTTTAACCCTGCTGAAAGCTGCCATTGTGGTAATTCAGGGTATCAAAGTCTGTACGAAGGACACGTGCAAAAGAGTTCTCTGCAGAATGGCCTTATTTACTTATGCTGTATGCAAGAGCAGGAGCCTGCCCTCATGCTTCATTTAATCACAATGCCAGATATATGGAGATTATTCATTGCCATCAAGCTTGCATTTGTGTGGTGACACCAGCAGACCAGGCCTGGAAGATTAAATCCAGTGTGAACTCATTTAAAATGTCTGTGGGGGAGGAGGGAAGCAATGAAGTGTTTTCTCTAAGTTCCCACAGCTCTGTTTAATGACACTATTATTGCCAGGTATTTGCCAGATAATTATGGCAAATGTTGAAGAAACATACTTGACCTCATCAAGACTGATACGGATTTTTCTCCTCTGCTCCCTCTCAGCCTCTCCTGTAGCTTAAGGACTTTCTTGTATATTCCATAATTTACTTTCTCTCCCTTTTTTTTTTTTTTTTAATAAAGGAAGCACTATTGCCTCTCTAAACAGCCCCAGGCTGCTTTTAAACTCTTTCTAATAATGGATCTAGAAGTGCTTCAAATATTCCCTTAACCATCAATCATGAAAGATTCTTGTGAGCTGCATGAAATACCCTTTCCCTAAGAGCAGGCTGTGGGCAATGTGTGCTTAACTCCCCCAAATCCCAAACATAGCTCCTATTGTAGCTGAATAATCAATATATCCCACAGAATCTTTAATCTTCCAGACTGGATTATGCACAGGAATTGGCAGGATTCGACTGCTGTAGATTCTTTAAAACTGGCTGAATGTAAAACAATAAATTTAAAAAAATTCCCAAAATCCTAAAGAGTTTTTTTAAATAATATATCCACTAGCAAACGGTTACTAGAATGTAAATTAGTTAATCTCTCTTACACACACACATGCACGCACACACACTCTCAGACGGCCATTCCCTTTCAAAAGTCTTCTCAATTTTGTATCTCTGAACTATTGCAAATACTATGAAAGAGAACAAAGAAACCCAAGAGAAACTATGCTTTAACCATGGCTTGTCTGCATTTTGCATATATAGGCAGATCTCTGTGCAGCACAGAATAGAGCTGTAAAAACTCAGCCCACCCCCCCGATCACAAAGTCGTATGTCAAGATGTGACAGAAGGGCTGGCTTCAAGTTCTTTGGGTTTGACCTTCCCATCTAGAGAATATGGTAAATAATGACATAAAGACAGATATTCATCAAATGCAGCAGTTTTTAAATGTGATCGCTTACCTTTTTATATTGCTTTTTCTCTTGAACAGAACACATTTATATACTTAAGAAGCCTGAGGCAGCCTTAGTATTATTTATGGATATTTTATTGTGGCCACTACATTATTTCTCTTACTCTTAGCTTTGGAAGAAACTGTCCTATAACAGCATGGGGGTTAGTGGTCTACATTTTTGCCTGTCTCGATTTTTTTTCACAGGGGAAAGAAGAAAAATACATCTTGCGTATTTCTTTTGCCACAGAAAATGAGATATCCAGCAACATGTTATGTTGGTACTAGGAATTATGCCTTGGTAAAACATGTTCAATATATGAATCGACACTTTAGTAGAAAGTTCTTGATTGCATTATAGATTTAACCTTGTTGTATGATACACACAGACATGATTGTCATGAAAGTCAAGGGGAAAGGTGCATGAGAAGGCTGAACTGGGCTCCTGGGAACAAACACGCTTGCACTATATAGCAGAGGAAATCCAGAGCTCCACTTACATTTGATTTGTACTAGGGGAACAGGGAAAAATTGTATGCAAATAAAAGAATTGATGTAAATATTTTAGAAGAGAGCAGATTAGAAAAAGAAGGAATATTTCTTCATTTAGATCACATAGACTATTTACTTTATTTAGTATTCAACATAATTTAATCTGTGGCCTTAGAAATTCAAAACAGTTTAAAATTTATTGTTACTTGACAAAAGAGTGGAAAGAGGAGTGAGAAACACAGTGCAGCCTATGGCAGTTTTCTGGAAATGAAAGGAAATGTTCACCTAGACTTCCAGACTTGATTCCTGTCTAGTCTAGCTGTACACTTCTCAAGAGGCCCAAAGCAAAAGGCCAAGGGAAAAGAGTCATGAGTTGCATCAAGGGATGTTCCAATCAGATACAAGGACAAAAAATTTACACTGTAAGCATGGTCAAATACTGGAACAGAGGCTGTGGAAAATGCATGCCAGGAGCCATCCAGAACTCAACTAGTTAAGGTCCTGAATGCTTTGTTCTCACCTTGAAACCCTTGTTCTTGGAGCAGGAGGACATGGTGACTTACAAGAGCCCTTTCCACCTGAATTAATTCTATGATTGTATCATCTATTCTTAGCAAAGTCTTTATTTAAAAACCAAACACACTGACAACGCCTTGCTGAGGTCAATAGCAATTCTTCTGGTTAACAGAGCACTGGTAACTGGTCTGAACATCTTGCATCAAAATTCCCTCTTCCCACAAAATCCATTAGCTGGCACCACTGTCCAGTTTCTGCTTACCCACTCACTTTGACAGCAAAGTCTGATGGCTGACAAAGCTGATTGTCAATGGCAAAACAGAGTTGTTGCAGATTTTTTTTGTTTTGTCTCATTGCGTGCAACTCATAAGCTCAAGTTCATTTAGTCATTAGCCACAAGAAATAATGATTCTTCAAACAGTGTCTGAGTACCTCAGACAAGCTATTAACAACACTTACTTTGTGCAAAGGCTTCCTGCACATCTCCTCCCACCCCGGTCAGAGAGTCCTGAGGTGCGTGGGTTGGGGTGGAGCAGGCAGAGGCAGACCTGATGGGCATTGGAATCGGTCGACTGATAGTGTGGCTGGGTGAGGAACGTGGGGAGCCTGCCCCTTGAGTCTGCAAAACAATCACAAGGGGTTAAACAGGTCTTTGCAAGAGCCCTCACCTGCTCTTCTTGTCACCCATCCCTCAGCTCAAAGGCATCATGCTGTTTGTAGATCAGTTGGGTAATGTTAATTTTGCTAAAAGAAATATACTGAAGTCAGTGGTTAGTGGACAGCAATGCTTCCGTGTAGAAAAATAGTAAGTAGGAAAATATGAGTCAAGATCTGACTTCCTTTAAGCATGGGAAAATGTCAGGCAGCTAAATTAAAAAAAATCCAAGTTAATAAACACCAAAGTATCGACTTTCTCTCTGCCCTCTTCCCCCTCTCACATGCATGCTTGATCAAACATAACCCATTCAGGCTGTGAGAAGGGGAAAGATGCTGGCACCGACGTGGCTTTCAGCCCGGGCAAGGGACTGAAACAGCCCCTTTCACCAGAGCGCTGCCGTGAGAGCCGCTCACAGCCCTGCCCTCCGCCTCCCTGCAGCAGAGGTTCACCGCACATGCAACCTCTCCGTCACAACAAGTCTGACACTCGCAATAAATAATAGAGCTTTCTGCTTTTTATTCGGAGCTAGAGAACTATTTTAAGCCGCTATTAAATCATACACTATTAAACTGGTCGCTCTACAGGATATACTCAGGCAATCCCAAAACACTGTGGGGATAGGGCAATATAAATTCCTGCTATGGGTTCAGCTGCTGGAAGTGAAAATGTTTTAACACAGCCATATAAAATGTCATGCTGTTAGCACCTCACAGTTAGTATCACTTAGCTGAAATTCAACTGCACACGGCTTTTGACTGAAAACCTGTGTTTGGTAGATGCCAAGGATAGAGGTAGCTTGAGTGCTGTTAAAGGGGAACAGCAACACATATCCCTGGTTGTTTACTGTAAAAAGTAACCTGAGGGCTGGTGTTTCCCTCACCCTGGGTTTATTTTGAGAATTCAGAAGCATTTCTTAACTCTTCCCATGCTGTTTCTTTTGACTCCTGTGGTGGCTACCACTGCAGCCCTGATAGGGTTTGGCAAATACGTTCTAAAAAGACAATAGCAGCCCACTGCAGGAGGAGTGCAGCATTGCCCTTGAGATTTTTATAAATTCCTGCCCTGGACCATAAATAATGTATCAGAACACTAAGCTATTTGTTCTTTTCTCCTATCACCCCTTTCTAAGAGACATTATCACCAGAGAGACATCAAGGGCAAATTAGTTTTATGAGGAATAAGCACATTACTGATGGGAGAACGAAGGATTTAATACTTATAATTTCTTTAATGATCAGTTTTAGAACATTTAAATGATGGATGAAAGGGAAGTTGAATATAAAAGAGCCAGATGCTCTCCTGTTTCTGGAATCATTTGTAGCCACTGCAGTGGAAATGCAGATCTCTAGTCCTCCAGAGGCAGGGCACAGAGCAACCTGGAGATGCTCCAAGGTCCTTGGAGGTCACACCCCCTGCACATCAGGCAGAGGATCTGGGAGCTACAGCTATAGCCTTTCATGCACCGACAGGGAATGTTTCATCCTCTGTGAAACAGATTTGCAGAAGAATTTCTGATTCCCAGCTTCCTCTTTTGCTTGCCCTTTTTCCTCAGCTCCCCTTTGCCTTTGATCCCGGTTCTGGAGAACACCAACAACAGTGGGAACTTTCAGAGAAGATGAGAAAAAATGGGCAACATTTCCTTCCTATAGTCAAGTCACATTTAAGGAATGAACTTCAGAATAGGCATTTTATTTACTAAAAATAACAGATGCCTGCCAGTACTTTTTTGCTGGAATTTTCCCACAAGAGAAATGTAAAAGCTGCTGCACACCAGTGCTTACCCTTGTGTCTGCTTTGCAGCTATGACTGAGATTTTGTGTTTATGATAAACAGTGCGCTCTTATCTGTAGCTTTCAGTGTTGGAACAAACTGGGAAGCACAGGGAAATGAAACATTTGGAGTCCCCTGTCCAGTAAAAAAGCCTCCTCTCTTTTTATACTGTTTGGGCAGCATCAGACAGAACTGAAGAACAGCAAGTTGAAGCAGGAGGATTTAAGGGAATGCCTCATTTCAGAGAGGTGAACACTTTAATCAGATTTTACTCATCGAGATCCACCTCAGCCCATGTTTGTGGGAATAGAGTGCTATTAGGATTGGATTCCTGCTTAGTGGTTATCAGGAGAAACGTGGTTTTCACGACCTGAAATCTGCTATGACAATCAGTAGTGACTTCTTGGTGATCTCAGCAGAGAAATCAAGCATCGAATTGCTCCCAAACCTCGGCACCCCACCAGCTGAGGACTGAGCCATGCTGAAAGGGGAGCTACCACAGCCACCACGGATATGTGGACGGCTTCAGCTTTTATGTTGTACTTGGTTACACCTATTAATGTTCGTCTGCCTTCTAGGAAAATTTCCATCCCTAGTCAACCTGCTATGGATTTTAAGTTAACCCTTGCTAGACAGGGAAAGATTCCCCACTATCAAATGTCATGCATAATGTCCTGGTTTCAGCTGAGAGGGTTAATTTTCTTCATAGTAGCTAGTATGGGGCTCTGTTTTGGATTTGTGCTGGAAACAGTGTTGATAATATAGAGATGTTTTTGTTATATGGACCTGTTGTTACTGAGCAGTGCTTACGCAGAGCCAAGGCCTTTGCTGCTTCTCACGCTGCCCTGCCAGCGGGTGAGCTGGGGGTGCACAAGGAGTTGGGAGGGGACACAGACAGGACAGGTGACCCCAACTGACCAAAGGGATATTCCATACCATGTGACGTCATGCTCAGTTTATAAGGAGCTTGGGGAAGAGGAAGGGGCGGGGTGGGGCAGCGGTGTTCGGAGTGATGGTGTTTGTCTTCCCAAGTCACCGTTACGCGTAATGGAGCCCTGCTCTCCTGGAGATGGCTGAACACCTGCCTGCCCATGGGAAGTGGGGAATGAATTCCTTGTCTTGCTTTGCTTGTATGCGTGGCTTTTGCTCTACCTATTAAACTGTTTTATCTCAACGCATGAGTTTTCTCACTTTTACTCTTCCAGTTCTCTCCCCCATCCCAATACGAGGGAGTGAGCGAGCGGCTGCGTGGGGCTTAGCAGCCGGCTGGGGTTAAACCACAACACATGCTTAGGATAAAACACTTCAAATGAAAACGGGTTTTAGAGGAGCTGGCGCATTGCTCCCTCTGCCGGAGCTGAGCCGGGATGACATATGGGGAAAGACCCTCTCGCAGCTTCATGAAACAACATGGATGTGAAGAACTCATTGTCCTTTCTCAAGGAAGGGCACTAGAGAAGTAGAAAGTTCATAAGCATTAGATGAATTGCCAAGCTGCTCATTCCAATTGAATTCCTCCAGAAATTAATTTAATCCTATTTCTCTCAACAGATCATGAAATGGCATAGTGTAATGGGGATCATTTCATGGAAAATGTGAGAGTAATTCCTTAGCGTCACCACCTGGTATTCAGCAAGGCTATTACTCTCAGAAGAAAAAAATCATATCGCATAATAGCCTGAAAATGTGCTTTCACTTACACTGTCCAGTGAACATTTTATATGGTAGGGAAACTCTTGTCACATTGGAAACTTCCCTTTTGTGAATGGAAGATCTTTTAATGCTGTTACGCAGAATCAAAAAGACAGCCCTTACACAGAGGTGATGTTTGGTCAGATATTTTTTTTGGTGCAACGGATTGAGGCTCTATGAAAATGTTAGTTTTTATGAAGATGAGCATTACCTACAAACTGTGCATGCCCTACTGTAGACAGAACACATCAGGCTTGTGATTGTGCTTCTGCTGATGAAAGCAAGAGGAAGTGTGTTTTGTTAGAATGAAACATTTTTTTATTGGACTCGTAAATCAGACTGCTGTCTGAAAAGTGCTTTTTTTTAAAGCCTAATATCTTTCTGAGATCCATTTCAACATGAAAAAACTCCAAAACAATTACATCTTCTAAAATTTACTATTAGTAATATAAATACTTGCCCTTTTTAATCTAGCTTGTAGAAGCCATTTAGAAACGACATTATTTTCCTGAAGACTCACGGAACTGTTAGTATCATGCCAACTTTAAAAGACACGCATACAATGCCCTGACTTTTTCTGGATAAAGTGGGATTTCAAACTTATTGTCCTGTTCTAATGTAAACTCAGTTATATTTTTCTTAAAGTTCCAAAATTCTCATTACATTTTCAGAATGTTATCTAGTGGGGAAAGTATTCTTTAATTCATATTCTAGGTTGGTTTCACTACATTTGGGTGGTGGTTTCCATGTCTTACATGTTCTTATTTAAAGGAGTGAGAAAAAGATCAAGACTTCTTGTAGCCATGACTCATTTTCTAGAGAGCTAAGAGATTTAATTGTGAAAATTGCTCCAAGATACTTTAAAAAAATGTGTGAAAGAATTGCAAACTATTAATTTTAGTCAAAAGAACACGCACACGTTTCAAGCAAAGGAAGTAAAATAAATCACAAGAACACAATCACATTTAGAAGTTAGTGAGGCCTCCAATAAGGAGGTAACTTACTACCTGTTTCAATTCTTCTTCCTAAAGAAAAAGAGGATCAGCACATGAGATTAGCCAGGATGTAAGTGAAGAACAGAAAACAAAGCCACATTTGGCATACAGGGTTAAAGCTATAGTCGAGATAGTTGAAGGTATGTGACCAGGTTATGGTCCCACCTCTGCTCACTTTGAAACACCGGAACAGCGCAAAGCGTGCAGAAAGCTACTATCATTTCCTACCCCAAATTCTCTTTGTCCAGGCAGTGCAACGACAGCAGGCAGTCCTGACTGCTAGTTGTAGCACTGCAGCACTTCATAGGTAGAGCGAAAAGTATCCTGTCTACTCCCAGCTCCCAAAAATCTGCCAGCTACTCGGTTGGCTCTGCTGCTCAGGTGCCACCAATTCCTGCATCGTGGCGGCAGAAACCTGTGCCTAAGGAGTTGCAAATGACTCATCCTTTGATGCAAATACATGTTGCTAAATGGATTTCAGTGAAATTCTTTCTGCTTTTATCAGAGCCATATTTGACCCAAGTTGCACTGAATTTCCATGCATTCATTTTATCTGGCATGGCCAACAACAAAACAGACTCTTAAGCTATTCAGAGCACTTTCTTCCAATGTGAATTTCTGGCATCATCTGCCCTAAGGCACGTCAGGTAAAACAGGGCTGGACTCTGCAAATACAGATACATTTTCTATCTGTCTTAAAAATTGACATGCTTTTTGACATCTTCATTTTTAACTGAGATCCTTTGTTGAGGCATGTTTCATCTGTTTAACAAGGGCTTTTTTCTATATTTATGAAAATGATCAACTGTTGCTGGGGAAGCATCTCTAAGAGCAGAGAGTTAGATGTGGTTGTGAAATGGCATGTCTGACAGAACTAGCAACTGAATGGGCAAGTAACTAGTAAAAACAATTCTGTACTGTCAGCTGGAGTAGATAATAGTCTACAATCCTGAGTTGTTTTTCTTACAGTTATTAGCTATCTCATTTTATGTGTTGTTTTGTTCCTTTTCTCATTCTTCTGTTTTGTATTTGATGTCCTCAACAGAGAAAACTCTAAAACCACCTGAAACTGGACCACAAAATATTTTGTGTTTGGACATTGTCGAATGGTTGATCTAGAGGTTGCTAGCCTGAAATCTGCAGATGCAGCCAAGTCCTTCTGCAAATGGCAAAGCAGGACTGTATTGCATCATGCTGCAATATTATTCAAAGGATTGTATTAATTCTTCAATAGTTTGGAGCTGTCTCTACTGTTCCATCCACTTACCAGTATATGACAATGATGGTGCAGTGTTATTGCAGGAACAATATTATTTGAAACCCCTGAATTGAAAGACCAAAGTAAAAAAATAGAAAGGGAAGGAAACAAAGCCAAGTTTTATGGGTGGAAATAGTCAAAAGTTCTGCAGAATTATGTGATCATCTCTCCTCCCTCTCCTCTCTTGCTGCACTCTGCCTGTTCTCCTTGGTAGTATCAAGTGGAGCTCCTTACCTTCAGCAGTTTCATGAGGCCTTCTAGCTGAACCATAAGCTCCCTCCGGCTTTCCTGGAGAGCAGACATCCTCTGTTCCAGCTCATCCTTCCGCTGTCTGAGAAACAAGCAGATTGGATCAGAGCTTACCCCTCACAGCGTCAGCAGCTTCTAACTGCATCTTTTACCCAGCCTGATGATGCGATATACACCTATAGACCACAGGAAAGCAAACATACTGTGGGAATTCAGCATAGTGCTATGTGCTATGAAATGGGGCTATGTGAAAGCTAAGGAGTTCCCTCATACTGAGAATATTCACGGGACTGAATATAGTGATTAGGAAAAAGACAGACACCCACACAGACCCTTCTCCAAAGAACAAATGAGGTTCAGACTAATTTGCCTTATATTCCCTTGTGGGAATGCCTGGCAGTTTTTGTCTTTGGATGTCTCTAGTGAATAACCTCACTAGCTGTCGGGAGAAATTAAAGCCATGCCCTGAAGGACAGGAAATTACAGCAGGGGCACTGAACAGAGCAAGATACGAGACAAGCTAAGAGAGTTCAGAAATTCAGCCAGAAAACCACAGCGATCTGTTTTTGTTTCTATTTTTTTCTGAAAGCAAGAGTAGGACTATCACATAGTACAGATATAACTGCTTGAAAATAGCTCTTTGGACTTGGAGCCCAGTGCTCTCCCTATGACAGTGTGAATACTGGCCCACTCCAAGTGTGACAGCCCTTATGTGGGACAGTTTGTGCCCACATAAATGGGAACAGCTTTGATTCTGCACAGCTCCACTGCACAGGATGGGGGTTCAGGACTTGCACATGTTCGATCACTAAATTGTGTGAGAGGTCCCCGTATAAATACAAAATAAAATTGTTGCCTCTGGGAAACTAACACCACTAACTAACAACATTACTGTTGAAAAATATACATATTAGATATATTTTATACACTACTGTGTTGCAAATAACATAAAATCACTATGTTGTTAGCCTTCTACTGCCTGTAAAATACGACAATGTAATCCTAAATGAAAAAGCACCAGAGTCAACAAGACTAAATACATTTCCTGTATTTAGGGAAATATGAAACCCTGATTTTGAGCCTCCTCTGTAAGTGAGCAGTTACTGATACAAACAACGCTGATTTCTACAGGATTGCTCATGTGTGCTATCTCTCACCTATATAATAGGATTGTACAGTAATACTGCCAGGTTGTATTTACACTCTTCTGCTACAAATTGCCTGTGCTGGCTTTTCTTTTCCAGGCATGTAATGGCTGAAAATGCTATGAACTGTACAAAGGCAACTGAGTTTAAGAAAACTGCAAATAAAAGTAAGATACCCTGTCCACGTAATTCAACGTGGCAGGTCCTAGCACAGACCTCTGCTGGGTTTTAGTTTAATTTTACGGGGAGAGAGGACCTAAGCAGTGTGCAATGTACAGACCGCTCCTCTGACTTGTTTCTCCAGCTATACTCCAGAGCAAGTTCTGGGAGGTAATGGGCTTTCCAACCTGTCTCTAAGACAGCACTGGTAATGTGAAAGAGTATTGCGTTTAGAACCTCATTTCGTGAGTCTGCAACACTACAGCAGCTAGTGAAAGATGCTGGGACAGGCACCCACAACATAATTTACAGATTCCAGCATTTAATATTATATGAACTAAATTTGCCCTACTGCCCTAATTGCTTGAAGTCTCAAGAATCTGTGGGGTAACAGATGTAAATCAGTGCTGCTCTTCTGAGTTTTACACATGGTGAGAACAGCCTCATGAAATCTTAAGTGTATAGGAATTTCAGGTGGTGTTGAAATTCCACAATAAATCAAAAGCCAATCTTTTGGCTTTCAAATGGTGAACATTTTAGAAGGTATGCAAAGCAGTACAGGCCCACAGATTAACAGTTATTTGCTGACTCTGACACTGCATATTAAATCAGAAAAGATATCATAATTGAGGAACTTAGCATCATTGCCCTAGGGACATCCCGTGTCAGGAAATTCAAATAAGGTTATTATTCTTTTAACATGTGTAGCAAAATTGAAAGAGGGAAAAAGTAAGTAGTTAGTCTGCTAACACTGCACAATCATTTGATGTTTTTTTTTAAGGATAATGAATTTTATTTGTCAACTACATAGAAAGCTAATCTCCTAAACCTGCTTAAAATAGACTTTAGGCTTGATGCACAGGAACCATGTTATTGGTAAATTTTATGCAGTGTATGCATTTTCACCTCAGGTTTATATGTCTCACAGAATGTCACTTGCCCGTATATATTTAGAAGTCATTACATACTAAAATCATTCATAGAAATTTGTCTTCAGATTGGACAGCAAACGTAATTATTTGTGAAACAGAAAAATATTTTAGTGTGGAAAACTCAATAATAAAACTATACAGTATTTGTAAACAAAAAAATTAGCACCATTTTTTACAGTAATTTCCTTTGGTTATGTATTAGACCACTAAAATATTACTTGTGTGAGGAGTGGCTAAGTGGCCAAAAATGTTCTTTAGTCTTCTCATGAGAGAACTGCTCTATGAGGGGGGATAAACTTTAATCTAGCATTGTTTCACTGGAAAGAAAGTGTTTACACTCTATTCTGTATTCACATGAAGTGTTTTGAATAGCTCTTACTGGATTCTCCACCTGGCTCTCACAATATGAACTTCGGGACTAGCAGGGAGCCTACGGATCTGGGACAATGACAATTGTTCTTCTTCAACGTGATATACATGGCTATTAGTAAATCCATCTAGAGTATCCTAATTAACATGCAGAGACATTCATATCAATGTTATTAGCTTGGTGGGATAATTGGAGAAATGATCCTCTAAATCTTCAGCTGCTGCAGATGACATTATTCCTCATTTCCCACTTCCCAAGGAGTATCATTCTGCTGCCTGGTTTTGCACCGTGAAGAGAACTGACCTCTCCTTAGAGTTCAACACATGGGGAATTTTCCAAAAATTAACGTCTAATTCTGGCTGTATTTTCATGTAGCTCTGTATTTACTTTAGCATAAATGCGAAGTCTTTGTAGAAGCATTTGTTCTGACAGGACAACATTTTTTCCCATATAATTAATGGCATTTGGACAAGGCTGTGGGGACCTATTCCAAATGACCTAAGGGCCTAACTCTGCAAACACTAATGCACATGCTTAATTTAATGTAGATGAGTAATATGTGAGATTCCTCATGCATGCTGTTTAAAGCATAAGCTTAATTACTTTTAGGACTACAGCCTGCACCAAAAATGGAGATAAAATAGACGTTGTGCTATTTACTTAAAAAAAGCCCTCAAAACTGTAAGCCAGCCTTATCTCTTATTTCTTCTTTTATTGAGAATGACTGGCTGGCCCCAGTCATTGCCGGAGGTTTTACTGCTGTGGACTTACCTCAGGAGCCGGAGCTCTGCAAGGAGGGTGGGATTTTGTTGTGCCTTCTCTGGCGTGGGTTGAGATGCTTGCTCATGTTCAAGTCGCAGCCTCTGGATCTCCTGTAGGATTTCTCTTGGGAAGGAGAATAAGCAGAAGACTACAAGTCAATAATTTTCCACAAAACCATCTCACTGGACATCACAAGAGGAAAAGATAGTGTGACCGTATGTAGCTCTTCAATGTGGATATAATGACCGGGCTCCAACCAACAAAAGAAGCCCTTGGCACTGCGACAGGTCTCTGGAGATTTTTTTAAATAAACTTTTAGGATTTCACCATAAAGGGAAATATTTCTTCAAGACCCCCAAAATTCAGATATGAAATAGCAGTATGCTTAATTAAATTGCTCCCTTCTTCTTCTTCCCCATGAACATTTCAAGCATCACATGAACTTCACAAAAATTAAAATAATATCTGGCCCCTCTCGAGTATCAGAGAAAATATTTCGCACTTAAAAAATACTTTTAGTGTAAGTAGAGTTCTGAAAGCGGTCAACAATTCATGGAGAAGCCCTTCAGGAGGACTTGTTATGACTGGCTTGCCACCCCTGAAGTACTGTCAAAAGGCTAACACAAAGCTTCGCAGCAGAAGGTTGAAACCTTTGTGGACTTTTTCTCTTCTTCACAATGTGCTGGATAGCAGACAGTCAGGAGGCAGCCTCGAACTATGAAAGACAAATTGAGACTGGAGCTGGTGGCTCATTACATGGTGACAGAAGGCAGTGCAGAGTTTGGAAGAGGAAACCATCTGGGTTGGGCTGGCCTCTGTTTTACATTCCAGAGCTGTGCTGCCATACATTTCATGGCACCAGGCTGTCTGATACCCAGGGAGGGCCAGATCCTCTGCTCCTAATAAATGGGCATCACTCCTTTTTTGGGGCTGGCTGGCTTATTTCTCCTGGATACTCTCTCTCAGTCTTGGTCACATCCATACCTAGTGTCTCATTTCATCAAAAGTCTAACTTGCTGCTAACCTTTCTGCAAACCTTTCCCAGGCAGACTGTCTTCTGGAGAGCTTTAATCATCTTTTTCACAAATAAAAGCAGGGGAACATAACATTACCAGTGTGACTGGTCCTTTTATCATTTTGTGTTATAGTGCTACAGAGGATCCAACTCAAAGTTAATCTGGTCTTGAAACAGGACAGTTTTTTTTTTTTTTTTTAAACTCTTAACAAACAGCAGCTGCAAACAGTAAATTATCAATGATTATATCATCAAGCCATTGAACGGTACACTCATTATACACAGGGTGATTATGGATTTCAAAGCCTTTGTCATACACTGTGGACATTTTTGTGGCCTGTGCTTTTTGTAGGGGGAGGTGTATGTGCATGTATAAGCACATTGCACAGAAGTAAGTGGTAAAAAATGTCAGGAACCACACATACACAATATGTGGGACTGAATAAAATCACGTACTTTGTGGATGCTTACCGGTTTTTATTTTCAAGCTCTGCAATCAGCTGCCTTTGTTGCTTGTTTGCGTCAATGGTGAAGGAGATATCTGATGCTCCTCTCTGCTGCCCCTGCTGCTGTTGTAAAAAAGAGACGGCTGCATTGAAGGAATAGCCAACATGCACCCATGAGTTCAACACAGATCCGTTCTATGAAATCTGTTTACAGACAATGCAGTACCAGGCTTGCCTACACTAAAAAAAGAGCATCCATGTTGTGCTCATACCAGTATGGCTCCACTGCTAGCAAAAGCAAGGTAAGTGCTAGAGTAAATAAGACTCAGTGTTTGCCATCCTGTCATTGCTTCCTCAAGGAGCTTCCTCTGAACCAATTGTAAAAGGCAATGGCACTGCTGCAGGCAGTTGCTGTAATATGGCTTCTAATTTTGATACTACAGACAAGAAGAATACTCTGAAGCAAAAACCAGTGTCTCTCTCGAAAAAGAAGGGCATGTGTGTCCAGTCCAGTGATGCTTCCTTCTCTTGAAAGTACGGTTTTACTTTCAGTTTGAAAGCTGTACTCAATTTTCAGTCTGGCTGGGTGGCCCATTCGGCCAAGTCTTCCTATACATTCTGATGATACTTCAGAAAGTCTCTATCCCCAGTCCTTCAGGTACAGCAGAACCTTTTTTCCCCAATAAAATGAAGCGGGAATTAAACTATTTCTTACCAAACTAGGCAGTGCTCACTACAGCTTCATTGGACTATGCTCTTCTTTCATGCTTATCAGCAATAACCAAATATTGTTGTTCTTGTTCACATCCCTGTATTTCAGTACTGTATCAATGACTACACAGAGCAAGACATTTAAAGTTTCACAGCTATTAAAGATAGCCATTTATTTCTAACTCCAGCCTGAAAGAATCAGACATTAAAAAACACTCTGCTGAGTTACTGCTGTGATTTGAGTGTTTCTAACTGTAAAAGCCCTGTGAAGTGTAACTGCAGCCCAATTTTATGTGATGCCAGGCACCTCCTCCTCCAGGAGGTGGCACCTTGCAGGAATGGACCCTCAGAAGGGATGAAGATACATCTCAGTGCTAACCTTTGTTAGCACTGTCTGTGGGGAAAGGATAGTATCATAGAAACACAGAATGGTTTGGGTTGGAAGGGACCTTAAAGATCATCTAGTTCCAACCCCCCTGCCATGGGCAGGGACACCCTCCACTAGACCAGGTTGCCCAAAGCCCCATCCAACCTGGCCTTGAACACTTCCAGGGATGGGGCATCCACAGCTTCTCTGGGCAACCTGTGCTAGTGCCTCACCACTCTCATTGTAAAAAAATTCTTCCTAACATCTAATGTAAATCTACCCTCTACATGCCCTTGTAAACAGTCCCTCTCCAGTTTTCAAGTACATTATGCTTGTAACCATTTACTGTTTTCTCTGCTGCGGGTACATTTTCCCATTAACAGTCCAACCATAGGGAAGCAGAGCAGTGCCTGAAAAAGAACTGATACACACTGGTGGATGTCATGACTGATACAGAGGGAACCAGGATCTTTATCCTGAATGCCCAGTGTTATTAATACATTTCATTCTTTAAAAACCAGAATAACCATCAGCAACGCTTTAGAAACTTCCACTGTGTTCCTAATGTAGTGCCACTCCTGTTCTCAGATTATACAGAAAGATTTCTGTATACAGAAACCTTGTCTTTTCCTTCCATCTCTTTTGTTCAAAGAGCACAGATGGATGGCAACGAGAAATTCAGTATTTTCCTTCAAACCAGCTCTATTTAAAAACGATTTAAGTATTGTTTCCTAAATTTTCCCCCATATCACAGACACGTTATATACAACTGTTTTCTACCAGTTGCTATGCAGAGACATTATTACTGAGAAATCTTGTTCCCATAAAGAATTACCGCCCTTCAGAAACAGGACCATCACCTACAGGTTGCCTTAAATTTGAAACACTATGTCACACCTCTGGAAGGGATTGATTTGGGCGAGGCTGGCAGACCAGGAGCACCCCTGCACCCCTCTCTCCCCGCCGGCAACTGCAGGCGGTGCAAAATCTTCCACGGTGACGGCTGCACGGGGCGGCAGATTCGTCTTTACTGCCTGCACTGGGGGCGAACATGTCACGGTGTTTTTACACGAGGCGCGGTGCCTGATTTTGCCCTTTCAATTGACCCCGCAGTGTAAATCTTGGTGTGAAAATATGCTTCCTGGCACTCCGGACCGGCTGCTTTTCACTTAACCATCATTTATGGTCCCTTGTTCTATCAAATGTGCTGAGATGGAAAAAACGTAACTAGGCTGACCTTATTTGTGCCATTTAAGATGTTACATACTTCAATTAGGTTCCTGCTTCATTCTCTCTTATTCCTGAATACAGTTAGTGAAGTTTTAGCCTGTCATCACCTTCTAACTTGGGATACATAGAGCAGAATAATCATTGCTCTGAAATGAAAATGGGAGCCAGGGCTAATGCAGGGGGTCATTACAGTCATCCTGCTGCA